TGATTGGGAATTAGCTCTAACCTGGCTCTTTAAATTTATGCTTTTACTGGAAGAAATCAAAACCCTTTTGGGACAGACATCTGGTACCCTAGGTATCGGGATGGTGTGCTAAAACTTTGCAAGGTCCTTGGTTCTCTAGTTTCCCAAGCGTTTAAACGATCAAGCCATTTCGAACTATAAAAGTTTTCCAAAATCGTTTGAACGAAAGATTAGAAGCGTTTGAACTGCTATATAACGAACGGAAAAAGAATGAAATTTTTAAACGAGTGGAAAAAAACTTTTCTCTCGTGCAAGGTCACATAAATTATATGTTTGTATCAATCATATTGATAATATACAATTATATACAACCAGCATATCCTAAAGCCTGGTTCTCGTATGTCACCGACGGTCGGCGATGTATCGTTTGTGGTCGTTGACGAAGAAAATTTATACAAAATAACAAAGCATGCATTTTATTCTCCAGTGCATGATCACCAACAATAGTCAAAGCCTACTGTCGGTGACATATGAGAATCAGGCATTACGACAGTAGTTTACGCGCATTTGTCAAATTTTCACATGGCATGCATTTGCCATATTCTTCACATTTTTCTATACAATGCTGTACCTACATCTAAATTACATTGGACGTGTTAAGTCTGTCTGCAGTTTACCTGTAGTGGGATCCAATCACAATTATTGTGCCAATGTACCTGTATGGGAAGTTTTCTGATATTTTAGTAACGATCTCTAAGACTCGTTTCAGACGTCGGATTTTCATGTGCTGTAATATCATTAAAGTCTTTGTTTACAATTCAGCTGTTCATTAAAAAGTTCGAGTTAATAAACCAGCCGTTGAACAAACAACTTAATGGCTATAATCGCAGAGACCACAGTTATTCAACCGCTGTCGGATGATCGTCTGCGCCGCAACTCAAGCATTACAAATAACAATTAAATTCGTAATTTCATGTAATTATTATTCGCCATCTTGGACTTTACACAAACCATAGTTAATTTTAAGAAATATCACTGCACATATCATCTCAAGGGGAGGGGGCATGATAAACATGGTTCTAACTGGAAAATAGTAATTTAAATATGGGGTAATTGTAGGGGTTCTGCAGAAATTTTTGAGTCCCTATGACGCAGAGTGACACATTTATTACTGCATATTTCTCATTTTATCATTGCACATTCTACTTTTATCACTAAAATTAGGTATGACACAAACGTGATTTGGTTCTAAGGGGCTATTTATATGTTCCGGCAGCTATAAGCCGAGTTTGAAAAATGACTTTGTGGTATTGAAATGAGTATAAATTATAATATGATCAATACGATCCTGGCAGTGGTGTATTAATAGTAGCGGCAACAGTATGTGCCTGTTTTGTTTCATGACGACCGTTCATTTCAATGCCTCAAAATTACCTCTCGCTTCTTTAGATCTCACGTAACCAGTTCGGTCAGGGCCGATGTAATCATGCAGCTCCTAGGCGCCTAAGCTCCTAGGGAACTCTTTGAAAAATCTTTTCATGGAATCGAGGCGCAGCACATCAGTAAAGATTTACACAACATGTTATCATTATGCAATTATCATGGGAATATCTGTAGAGTACAGGATGTACGAATAAAAACGCAACATTTAATATTCATGAATATCCGCTTTGGTAGTGTTGCGCTTTTTTACACCCTCCATAATATAGTTTTGATTATTGAAATAATAACTGATTATAACTTAGCGACGAAGGAGCGAGGTTCATGCAAAAAACCTCGTTCTGATATTTGACAGTACTTACAAACAGAACACGCGAGTCAGTAATCTGTTTATTATATATGCTGAACTACATGAGACTACGGTTCGGATATGGGTTTTTACGGACCGCTCATCAACCAATCATTCAGTATAGAGGATCCTGAAAAGCCATATAATAATAACTTCTATAGCCCTTATTGTCTAACTAGAAAATAACTTCCACTGCATGTGCAGGTCCAATGACTCATTGTTTTGACGTTTTGAAGATCTATCAACTCTTTTCAGTCATGACTCATTGTCATTATAATTATAAGCTTAGATTTCGATAGCTCAGGAAATACGTTGCTTGGTTGAAATTAGCGAGGGGTTACTGCATGCATGTATTTCTAGTTATTAGTTTAATTTGGTCCACTAAAGGACGCACTATAAATTATTAACAGTAGACACTTGACAACTGTTCCAATAATAATTATTATGCCATACCTCAACAAATTCTCACGGTAATTTATTGATATATATAAGTTAGGCAAATGTTGAATCATTTCTTTAACGCAAACAATGCTTCTTTTGCATATTGAAACACTTTTTGTATAAATACGCCATTAATGCCATTAATTTCAGATTTAAGGCCCACACACACTAGACGCGATTAGCCAAAGCGACACGAATTCCCAGTTTTTTAAGCAAATAAATTAATTTTTACATCTTGTATAATATAGTTTGAATATTGGAAATAATAACTGCTATAGTCCTTATTGTCTAACTAGAAAAAAACTTTCACTGTGCGCTATTTAATTTTGTAGATCTTAAAAGTACATATAATCACATTATTTAAAACGCTTTTTTAAGAGGTTGGACAACAGAGAGCGCGCTGTTAAGTTTCAAAAATGTAGAGAATTTCCAGGGACTAGTAAATGTAAAGAATAAGTTTGAATTTTAGTTTTCAGCCATAATTAGCATTTCAAAGCCTTGTGGGACAAATTTTCAATTCCCCTTGGCGAAAAAATGTGATTTGAACAAATCAAATATCAGTTCAAAACTTCAAAAGTCGACTGGAAATACTCACTGCAAAAATATTCAAAGAATACATTTGACGTTTAGTCCCTGAAGATTCATTGTCTTGGCGCTTTGAAGCTCTATCGACTCATTTGAGTCATGTCATTATAAAAATTATAAGCTTAGATTTGGCAAGCTTAGGAAATGTGTTGTTTGATCTAAGAGGTTCCTGCATGCATGTGTATCTAGTTATTAGCTTAATTTGCTCCATTGAAACACGCCTATTAACAGTAGACACTTAACAAACTGTTGCATTATCCTATAATATTATGCCGCTACAAATTCTCACGGTAATTTATTGAGATATAACGGTGAGTTTGCACAGTTAAACACTTCTTTAAATACGCCATTTATAATTTCAGTGTAAATACCCACACACTTTATAGACGCGCGCGATTCGCCAACGCAACGGGAATTTTCAGTTTTTTGAAGCGAATAAATTCAATTCTTGAAAGAAATTTTGAGAACATGGGCCTCGGACATATGAAAATGTGCAATTCTTCAGTAATTATCAAACATAGTTTCTTTTAAAAACTCAAAAATTCGTAAAAATCGCGTCGCGTTGGCGGATCGCGTGTGGTGTGTGAGGGCCTTAATGACTTCACTATATACAGGGTGTATCAAAAAAAAGGTAATCCAACTTCAACAAGCTATTGTACGTGAACTACTCAGTCTATGAGCGAATTGTTTTCACATTCGGAAAGATCAGGCTTTTAACTATCGGATGACATGTTTTTAATACCAAATGGTGAAAAAGTGAGCACATACGAGGCTGATAAAAAATGTTAGTCGCAATCGCATATTTTCACCTTTGAGCCTAATTAAAGCAGTGCATAACAAAAGAAAAAAACAATTAATCATGAGCATGTCACAGCTTGCACTGGTTTTATGCCGCATTGCTTGGAATGTTCTCCTTATTCCTACTTAATATGCATATGCAGGTAGTTTATTCAAAAGCAAAAGTCCCAAAGAGAGTTAATTTTCAATGGTTTTAGTCCCAACTCTCAGAGGTGAAAATATGCGATTTCGACTAACAATTTTTATCAGCCTCCTATTTGCTCATTTTTTCACCATTTGGTATCAAAAACATGTCATTCGATAGTTAAAAGCATATCCTTTCGGAATGTGAAAAAAATTCGTTAATAGAATGAGTAGTTCACGTACAATAGCGCACCAAAGTTGGATTACCTTTTTTTTGATACACCCTGTAGTTAAAAAGTTACTGTCGTCTGTCGACTCATATTATAGATATTCTCATTTACATGGGTTATTGCGAATAAATTTTGATTCCCATGATCTGTCGGCAGGCAACTATAAACCACGTGATTGATTTTGACCAATCGCGTGATTAGAATTATAGGCCAATACAAAAAGATTGTATATAACTATTAAGACCGAATAAAGCCCTGGATTTCGTTTTATTTTTCATACAACAAAATTCAAATCGCCTCTGGTGGAGGTATTGTTTATTGATGGAGACGTTTTCTCTAAAAAATTGGCGACGGGGGAGGATGTACTTTCCCCGTTCCCCCGTTGATTTTACGATGTTCCACGGTTAAGATAAAGAGGACATTTTTTATTATGTCGCGTATTTTGGCGGGAAAACGCTCAAAACCTAAAATCTTTTCGGCGTACCACTCAAAACCAATTTATTTTACCGTTACTCTTTAGATTATGTTGTGAACTAAGTTTTGAACTGTATTTGGTGAATCCAAAACACCAAACAAAGGAGTTATCAAAGATATAATGCGGCGGCTATCAACAATGTTATAATGTCAACGCCATTATAACTAAAATGAATACAAAAGAAGCTTCGATTCAAGTGTCATTTTCTTCTCGGCGTATCCGGAGAAATCTTTTCATTTTCACAATATTTTGAGATACAGTAAACATAATTTGTGGATCGATGCTTTTCAGGCTTGCAAAACATTTTAATGCTGAAAATTTTAGTGTTACATGAAGATATAACTGAGGTTTTGAGCATATATTACGCGACAAAGAAAAATATCTCCTCGCAATAAAAAAGGACAAAAAACTGTATTCACCTGAGAAATTGTTCATAATTAAATCAATTTTAATATAATTAGCTATCTATAATCAATTTAATTGTTCATATTTAAATCAATTTTAATATATTTAGCTAACTAATCAATTTAATTGTTCATAATTAAAACAATTTTAATATATTTAGCTAACTAATCAATTCAATCGTTCATCATTAAATCAATTTTAATATAATTAGCTAACTAATGAATTTAACTGATGTCCCATGCGATAGTTACAAAAACGTTTACACTAAGGGCTATTTATTCTTCTAAATGTTACTTAACTAAAAATTAATAAAGTGATACTAGGGAATGTTAATCAACAGTAAAACGAGTATTGATTCCTTATGAAGTTTCTTCTAAACTGTCTTAAATCCATTCAACTATTCTTTGCCTTTTTCCTTCTCTCCATGTGACGGACATAAACTTGATACGCTGATTTAAAGGCACTTTCCAAAGCTCCTTGAATCCAGCCAGCCGTAAATGCTATGTTATCGCCAGCGAAATACACATTTCCCATTGGTTCCCACAAATATCTGTCAGTTAAAAAAAAATTCTTTGTATATCTGGGGTGCTTATCAAATACCATAGGAAATTAGAAATTCCTGTCGGAAAAGGAAATTGTACAAAGAGTTTTATCAGAAAGTTTAGGAGGTTTCTTGTACAATTTTTTTTCTAACCCGATTTTCTAATTTTCAGGGTGATATAAGCACCTAAATTCCTCATATTCCCCAAAACACTTGACACAGCTTTGCGTAAAGACCGGGTTAGCGCTGAGACTCCATCGAAACACAGACTCGGAGAGCAAGAACTATCCGCCGCAAAACTACTTTTCAGTCAGAAAACTTAGTTTCTTTCATCCTTATGTCTTCAAAAGAAAAACTGAACTTTTTAAAGGTAATCAATAGTTTTCTCTTTGATAGCGATACAGCAATGCACAATGTGAACCACTGATCAGATTTTCGGGTTGAAACTTCATAAACACCAATTTTTGCGGTGTTGCCGGACCCACGGGGGCAGCTGCGCCTTGGTAGTTCAATTAATGTGTCCTTTTCTAAAATTCTGCTCGCGCTGCCCGAAACTGTTTCTGGCGTTTCTGCGTGGTAAGCTGTTTTCCAGCCAAGAAAGTTATCCTCCGGTCCGTATCGCACAGAAAAGTTTAATTTATCAATGTGTTCTTAACAAAAACTAATTCTTTTAAGCAAAAGCACTAGGCTCTCCGGTCCATATCCGCTAGCGCATTTTCCTGAGTGGAAACCAGCCTTTACTGATTATTTGAGAATCGAGCTATGAATTGATAAATAGTAAAATAGATGGTTATATGAACTATATTTACGATAAAAGAGCCCATCTTCCCGAGCTAAATGAAAGTTTGTGTAAAATTCGTATGCCAATCACATACCTGCTATTGTTGAATTGAGTGGTCTTCACGAGTCCATAGGCACCTCGATAAGAGGGTTGGTTGTACCAAGCATGGACAATGCATTTTTCAACTGCTCCTTCTTCTTTGATCTCAGGGTGAATTTCTCCAACTTGCTCAATGGCCTCCTTCTCTGCCTGCTCTTGGGTCAGAGAACCAAAAAGCAGTGCTTCATTATTCCAGATGTAGATCAAAATTATTCCTTGCTTGGTGGAATCGACATCCGGTTTAACGTAATGTATTTGACCGATGGGTAGGTTGGTCTTAGAAAAGCCACCTTTGATGCCGTACTTCTCCTCTTCCCAGAATCTGGTCCTCGTTTGCAGGATAATCTTCATGGCAGGTGAAGCGAACATGTCTTCAATGGCTTGAAGATTCTTTCTGAGGGCATCTCTGTCTCCCTGGCTTGGTTGAATTGGGGCAAACGTAATTTGCCGCAATAGGTTGACTCGGGCGGTAACGATTACGGCCTGGATTTAAATACGACACATTAGCACTTAGAACTGTAAAACAGTACATTATCATACACCGAGTTTATGTCTTACGCTATTTTTTCCTCTCTAATTTGATGCGTACTGCGACAGATTTGACTATTTTTGTACTTTACTATGGGATTTATATTTAAAAATTTAGCTACAGTTAAAACAATTAAAAAAATCTCGAAAGAAAAGAAAGAATAAAAATAAAATGCAGAAATATGAGGTACAAAGAGCTTTAACAACTAAATTATTGTAAACTAACTTGAAAAAATTCTATTTTATGGAGGTCTGGCATATAAAAAACCCTAAAGATTCCTGTAATTAATTTTACAAGACTGACCCGTGCAGTGTATGTAGGTTCTTCTAATTCATTTCCTGTCGCGTAGCAAGTTACGATAGCATAATCCTTGATAGGGTCAGAGGACGAGGAATAATAAGAAATCTTGCGAACTTGCTGGTTATGTTTCAAATCATCAGAACTCAACGATTTCGGTCGTTTTGAATCGAAGAATGCTTTAGGTAAGCTGTGCATACCACCAACCAAGGTGTGCATATCAGGTGACCACCAGTTTGCCAGATCATCAATAAGATACTGAATCAATGATTGATTCACTTGCTCTGCGTAAGAAAACACCGAGTAGCCACGAACGGCATCGTTAGGCCAAGGCAAAAGGTTTCCAAGCATGTCAATGTCTAATGAATCCAGATTATCACACCCGTCTTCGTCTTCGCTTTCCAATTTTGCAAGAATAACCTTAACATTGCTCTCCAGAAAGCTTTCGAATGTAAACTGGCTCCAAATCTCGATCCAGCGTTCCCAAACTGCAATTTCCTCTTCAATGGTGGTTGTTTTATTCAACCAGGCAATCAATTGATCCGTGACAACGCCGGTTGTTTTGCTGTAATAATCGTCTAAACATTGTTAAAAAATGAAAAAATAATTAAACAACGTCTTTAAATATGTCCTAAAACATTACACTATGTAACATTGGCTTCTATAGTGTCCAGCTGTTCCTAATGATATAATACATGCCTTAGTACAATTCCTTTACAAGGTGCTAAAAAAGATTGTCTAAAGAAGCGTGTCATCATGGCATTCGTATAGTTTAACCTGCTGCGTAGGGGGTGGCGATTTAATGGCATACGTGCAATTAAAAAATGTTGTCTAAATGCTTGGTTTCTGGAAGAAAATATAATAAAAAACAATAAAAAAATTCGAGTGCATTTGTATCCTGGTTGAATTTTTTCACAATACATAAGGTATTGTGAGGTAAGGTGCTGTGTATTTTAAATGTGATTGGTTCATTCGTAGTGACATGACCTTAATGAAATTAATGCAGTGTTTCCCGCCAGGAAACAAGTTAAAAATTGTTTCCCAAAATATGGCATAACGAAGTAAAGTGTATTTTTAATGAAATTGCTGTGTTACAACAAATAGCCGTTGTTCAGTGGTTAGTTGAACTAACCTGTGTTGTCAAGAAGTAAGATGGTTATAAAAAAATCTGAGTAGTTTCACACAAAAAATCAATTTAAAAAAAGTTTAAAGTATAAATAATACCAATATCTTTAACATCGACGCTTCCTGTATTAATTTTTTCCCTCCATTTTGGCCAAATGGTGTCGAAATGCTTTCCTTTCCAGGCTAGAGAAAATAAAAAGGATGATTAACGTTTTTGTCGTTTAGAGGATTTATTCAAACGGACATATGATTGCGCGGGGGTGAATTGGTTTAAAGTCGTCCGCCATACTGCAATGTACCTTATTACGTAAAAGAGGTAATCTAGAGACCTTAACCTTACCCCATGCAAGAGTGATTTCTCTTCAGTGACATTGACAACACATCAATGTCTCTGCATACCAGTGGCACAATAAAAATTACACTAAAATATAGGCGCGGATCTAGGGGTAGGCAACACAGTCAAGTAACAATGGTAAATTATCCGGATAATTATTATTCAATTCTCACAGTATTCATAAGTGGAAACATGTCAGTTAATTATTCATATTTTCATATCACAGTCCAGTTATTCATAGGTATATAGCTCATTGGTATCTAGGAAAGCCAATGAGAGGCAGTTATTTTGCCTATGTCTGGTAGCCAATACAGCCTTTTGATTGGACTTTGATTTTGCCTAGCCAAGACGATTTCGCCTAACTTGACGTAACTTGGAAGCCTTCTGATTGGGTAATTATTTAAAATTATATTATTTTATTGGCTTGCATTTTTTGCCTATCTTCGGTGATTTAAACTAATCACTGTGCTTGGTAAGCGTTAGTCATGTTAGGCAAAGAGTGGAAACATGCCTTTTCAATCGCTCTGAGCATCGAACGAAGGATTGGATTTCAAAGTTAGCTTCTGCTTTTTTGCGTTCGCTTTGTTATTGTGTTATTTCACAACGTGTTGATCGACTTGTAGTGATTTGTACGAGCCATTCAAACGATTTAGAGTGTCTAAACGACCTTCATTGCCGTTATTTATGCGACGTCTGATCTTTGCGTTCCATCCAACAGCTAACATTTATGACGGCGAAACGCTCCGAGCCGAAATTTTAGTGCGGAGATATAGGTGCCGAAGCACGCTCGTGATGGTATAGGAAAAAGGCTTGTACTACAATAATTCAACTGTATTTTGTTTATTCTATGCTACTCTTGTATATAACTGTGTTTTACTGTTTTTAGTTCTTAAATCGGCAAACTGATGAATGTCGAACATCAACAAGCATAGCTAGCTATTTATCTATTAAAATATAAATTTAAATACCTCTGCGCTGGCTGGGTGAAAATATATGAATATATAACTTAAATATGATAAAAATATATCGCAAAGACTCAAACTAAACGTGTTCGCACAGTTACTGTATATCACATTATCATAATTTATGTATAAATATGTTCATATGAATGAATATAATTATGCATCATGATGTCGACATTCTACACCCTGCCGTCAGTCTGTGATATATTAATTGTCTGATACTGATTTAGCGTGATTTAATTTTTTTTTTCAATTCAATATTTTCTTACTTCTCAGTTCTGATGTATGCTGATATATGGGGTTTGTTTTTTGTTAATAACCACCACGGTACTATCATCATGAATGACATAATGCATCACCCCATACATGACGTCATTGATGACGTCATAAAGTTTTTACAAAGGTAAGAAAAATCCTAGATGCACGCCCACAAGGGTACGTCACTTTATGATATGAAGTAGCTACTGTAAGTCAATTGTTTTCAATGTAACATCACCTACTCGATGTTAATTCCTTTAATCCGTAAATATTGGAAATGACTTTTTCATCAAAATTTGGAAACTTTTTGATGCCTAGTTCAAAGTCAGTGACATATCTATCCGTTAGAAAATGCGCTCTTTCATTTGGTTCATCCACACCACCAGGAAATCTCATCGCTCCGGCTAAAAATAAAACAAAGTAAAGGTTTGGTATGGCTATAATAAAAAAGGGGAAAAATTAATATTGTTTTCCACCCTCTTGAGCAGACACGATAATTGACGAAATTAGACTAGTTTCGCAACAGTACGACTTTCGGACACGTTTTCAAAACGTACAATATAAAAAAATATACAAAGATGACTTGGTGCTTGCTTCAAATAGTTTTAAATTTCATCTCAAACCACAACTGAGGCGTAGGAATTTCTTTTTATTCTGTATCCGGTGCTGTTGAATTACGTTTACGGAAAGTATCGGGAAGATACATTGGCTGAATAATGTTATTATTTTCGTTTTTAATACAACATTTATAGTACGCGCGTGCTGATTGGTCGAGAAGCGTGTTTTTATAACTATATCAAATCAATCTATAACTGTATGGAAACACGGGACATTTTCCGCCGAACTTGACAAGCGAAGTAATGTAATAAGAATTTGTAACTGAATCGAATTACACAAATTTATGCAAAATCTTTCTATTAAGCTGTATTATAACAGAAATAAGAATTTTTTTCCTGTGTTTTTATACAGGTATGGAAAAACTTGTGGGAGTTTGAGAGAACTTGAAATAACGTGGAAAAACTCGCTATGCGGGCTCTTTTTCCCACTGATTATTTCTCGTTCTCCCGATCTCCCACGCGTCTTTCTATTTAACAATTAGTCGCTGAAGGCAAGGTGATTACAAGCCTATATTCACTGAGCCAAAATTTCGAGGTGCTTACAATAGTAATCAACATAATTGCAAAAAAGATTATAATTACTCCAAATTTCTTAGTTGAAAAACAACAAAAAGCCAGGGACGCCGGAAGATTGATAATTGGGGGGGGGGGGCATACATTCATATATTCAAGTTCACAGACCGTAAAAACAATCGATTTCAAAAGAAACAAATAATGCAGAACTCGAATATATGAATATATGCCCCCCCAATTATCGATGTTCCGGCGTGCCTGCAAAAAGCTATAGTGATTGACCAGTGAGAGTGAATCTTGACCAATTAGAAAGCAGGAAAATCAATAGTCACCTCGGCTTGAAATTTATACTAAAACTGTAAAGAAACACGGAAAATATGTTCCATTTTTTAAAATATGAAAGGGCGTTCAAAAAATTAGTATGCATTTTTGGGAGCAATTTTTAAAATTATAACCCATTGAAGAAAAATGAGCCCTCACCGACTTATATAAGAACGCTTGGTGCATGTTGCGTTTGCCTTTTTAATTATTAATTTTCTAAATTTTCGAGCAGAAGTAAAACTGTGAAAAACACTTCCACTCAATAATGAATTTGAAGTTCCAACCACAGGTGATTGCTTTGTTACTATTTATGCCAAAAATTTACCAAGCAGACGTTCATTAAAATACCTTCGCCAAATAGACCGGGTGCAAGGCCTGCATCTTCCCCATAAGTGAAAACTCTTCCACCATAACGATCAGTCTGCTCCAGTATTTTCACTTTTAGCCCAGCTCTCTTCAACTCATACGCTGCGGCAAGACCAGACATACCAGCTCCAACAATAATCACGTCATATTCAATATCGTCTGGTGGTACAAATTGCCGCGGTGCGCCTGTTTTCGGAGGAGATGGGCGAGGTGGATTGTCGCCGTATTCCAAATAGGCCTCATACAATCCTTCATTTTGGATTTTCAGCAAGAATTCTTTTAAATAATCACTCAGCTGAATAACTTTGGTGGTTTGTTCTTTCATTCTCTCCTTAAACGGTTTCACTCCCTTTAAAAGGTGAGTATTGTTTAAAAGAAAAGATGTTGCCATTGTCCTAGAAAAGATATAATAGAAGAAAGACACTCTCACTATAATGGAAGAAAAATATATATTTGCTGTAATTTTTACATTTATTGCTCGGCTAATCAACTAAAACACAGCTGATTCAAAAAATTAATATTAACTTTGACTTTTATAATAAACAGAAAACCTTCAACCTTATAAACGTAATTTTTGCTTTCAAGGGAAATTGCGAATTTTGTTTTCCCAAGAGTCGAGGGAAAAGAAAACTCACTATTTGTCGAGGTACGGAGGTAGCTAGTGTACATTAAGTGCTTTGTTATATAGGAACAAAAAAAACACTTTACTTTATTATGACAATTCGCGGCAATATATTATGTCAATACAATTTTTCAATTGTTTCCTTTGTTAAAAGTCATGCGACTACGAGTGAGCAATTACATTAAAAATACACAGCACCTACATAACAATAGACTATAATCTCGCGCAGCATATTGGACAACACGATTTGAATAATTTACTTACACAATTTATATCAGCACAGCGGGGGCAGGTTTTATCAATCCCGTTTAGCTTAAACGGTGAATGTAGGTTTTCTAAAAAATAGTTTTTCTATTTCAGTAAATAGTAAAATGGAATTTTCTATTCAATGCCACATGATCAAAACCAACTAATTAAAAGACATTATAAAAGATATCCTTTCGCTCTTTCTAAAAACTAATGATGGTATGTAATAATAATAACCTTTTAATGGGTTGTTTCACAAACATGGTATACCAGGTAATTATATGCTAATTAATATGTTGCTCAATGTCTGTGTTACAATAAAGTCTGTACGGTTTAATACAATATTACTGAGAGTTAACAAATGAATACATAACTTTATTTTATAGTTCAAGAGTTGCTTAGTTGCTTTGGTGTTTCAAACAAATTAATCAAGAGGTCATGCAGACAAACAAGCCTCTTTCAGAGAAAGACATTCACCCTGACAAAAAACATCCATCATCAGAAGAAGCATTAAATTTCAACATAATATCCATCAAATAGTACTTAGAGCAAAAAGTATGGGAAAAAGTTGTCAACTCATGTATGTTACTCGATCTAAAAACAAATCTAAATAGCATTATCTAGTAATAGCCGGCCATTAATTGTCAGTACAGTGTTAATTATTATATTGCAGAATAACCAATTAATGCATGAATAATGAATAACTATTAAGCTACATTAATTTACCAATATATTGTTAACAAATTTTATTAGATAATTATATTTTTTGCAGTTCATGAATTACAAGAAGAGTGGAAGTGCTCAACATGCAACAAAGCTGGCTTTGAAAATATGATGTGTGCTTCATGTTCAACCTGGCACACTTGGTGAGATGATCGAGTTACATGCATCTGCAGTAATTGGCAAATTGCAGTTGGGACTTTACCATTATATAATTGGCAAAGCTAATTAATAAATTAAAATATAAATTAATTTTATATTCTTAGTGTCTTACAATTACAAATCTTACACATTATTTTCATTAATGTGGCATAATGTTAATTCATCACCACATTTTTCACCAATGCAAAGGTCAGGGCATTAAATCTACTAAAGAATTCTTAATCTCAGTACAGCATTATCATAATTTTTTTTGTCTTTGCCTAACCCCCTAGCTTAGGAGCACAAGGACACCTTCAGTTGTGCCACCTTGGACCACTAGCTAGTTTCCAGCCTGCCACTGGACATAGAATCATATATGCTTTATTTTTTTCCTTTCAAACAACTAGGGAATGTGTAAAAATCAAAAGTGAACATGATGAATGGTATTAATTGTCAAATATGTGAAAATCTAAATACGGTAGGTAAAGTACATGCATATATATTTCAATGGTAATAATTCATGATTGTTCGTCCACACAAGAGAAATCATTAATTAGGTAGACAATTAGCATTAGGTTATACCTGCACAATTGCTAAATCAACAGTTCGTGTTTAATTCCAAGGGAGGCTAGGGAAATAATGGACTAGTTAGCTGAATTGTTGATATATTATTTATCAATAAATCATCTTTTAATTAATGTAAATACATTAATTACTCAGTATTAAATATACAAATATTTTATATTTACATTTCAGGATATGTCATCCAATGAACTAGATCGAATTGACAATTAGGGAGACATTTGTCAATAACTTTTAATTGGCATTCATGTTTATATAATATAATCATGTTATATATAATGGAGAAATAGAGAGCATTATTATTAAATATATTTCTTAAAAAGTATTTGAAATATATACTTTAACTGGCACTAAATATACACTTACCTTTTCTTTCTTTTGTTTATGACTTCAATGACTTGAAATCACTAGCTCAGTGTTTGACATCCTGTACCGAAGACAAGCTCAGTGACGGCCTGACGGGTACCTATCACTGGTACCTATGACTGACTACGAGTATTTTACTAATCCATCACTTTCCACGATAACCACAAGCTTTCCTGCTGCAGGAATCAGGATTCCTGCAGCAATATCGCCCCAGTCCTTTGCGCGGCATTCAAAATAGCCTTAATGATCGAAGCCGTTCTAATGATTACTAGCAAGCGGGATTTCCGCAGAAAACAATACACATACACACACGTTTTTTGTGGGAGAAGGGGTTTGGTGGAAGCACTCCTATAGGATGTAATTCTTTGTGGTCAATCTTTCATCCCAAAGACTCATTCTTAAATGGCCTTTAAATCGTTGTCTTGGGTTTATATTCTCTCCATTAGGACTCTGCAACTGCGCACAATTGTATGATGCATATGTCATGTATGCGCACACGCTACATACCATGAAAGAGGTATAGCTAGCCTCTAAGACATCAACCTGATCAACCGCACAAGTTTGTTGGACAGTATACGATTCGATTGATCTATGATTACAATAACTTAATGCTGAGTCTATGGGCTTGAACGTGACAATCAGGAGCGCTTCCTCTCACAATACACAGAATGTGTATCCCCATAGACGAAGGAGCCCTGCCGCAAAAATAGGAAATCGATGATGTTGAAATATTGGCCAGTGTGGCTGATACGCTTGAGAGCGTTGAGGTAGGTGTTTGAATGTAACGTTCAAAACAATCGGAAGACCAGCGTCCTAACGTTTGGATCATCCAAGCGGGCAAGTTAACTGAGGCTGCGGTCGTAGCAGCGCCAATCCGAAAGCAATGACCAACATATTCCTGGCATTGAGCCCAACTTAACAACGTTCGAGTCTGAGCAGTTAACGTTTGTTTTGTGAGCGGTTTACCTGAATACTGTTTCATGGCCGAAACAGGGCAAAGCGCGGTCCCTGTGACTCCAACAGTTAGTGTGTTACCTACGCGAAAGGGGTCTGTTTTGGATTCTTTAAGGTGAACTGTCATATAATTGGGCTGGGCCATTGCTGTACCTTGGGGAAATGCGATATTATCTTTCGTGAGGTGTATACTGGAGTTAAATTTCGAATTTGTTGTTAGCTCCCCCAAACGGAGAAAGCCAAAAAATACCAGAGTCATAGCTGCCCAGATCATAACGGAATTATAGTTTGTAGTGTTAGGGACACCAAGCAATGTGCGGAAGAGTTCTAAGTGATGAATGGTGATAGGACAGTAAGCGAACTCGAACTTTATCCCCCTGCGATCGCTTTATACCCCGTAGTACTAGTTGCAGCCGCACCATTTTTTGTAAATTCAGAGCATGACCGTGGCGAACATGGAAGTGGCGTATTCAGTTAAAAGGGATTCATTGGCAGGGAGACAATGTTCGACTTATGTCGCCTAAACCAATTTACAAAGTGCTTAAAACTTCTTTTGCCTGCGCTGTAGGTCTGCGACGGACCTTGTGTTTTGCCGGCGGCTATAGGTATTTTTATATTTTGAAATGCAAGAAGCATGGATAAACTTTGCTGACAGATGCTGTCAAATGATAAAGCGGGTGCTTTTGGTTCAATGAGCACAAAATCGTCTAGGATATGACCAGATATGACATGCGAAGGAAATAGGGCATTTATTTATTAAGACCACTCCAAGGCATTGGAAAGTTGATTAAATATAAAAGGAACGCTGCGCAGACCAAATGGCAGAACTTTGTCGTAGTACGTAATCAAATATTATATTCATTTTTAACCAAATATAGCTTAGTGCAGCATTTTATTGGGGATGTTGGCATGGTGTAATAGGTGGAATATCAGGTGGAATATCATCACTTTCAATTAAAAAATTATACTTTAGTTAGTAACAACTGTAACTTTAGTGTGTCTGTAATAACATAGGGGGAATTATTATATCATAATATAATATTAGGACTGTTTTCCAATGATAGTTAAGCGTAGAATACCTTATTGTAATGACATATAAGCGCCTTCTATTTTGTTGGAATCAAAGAACTAAGCAAATCGAATATAGAGGCCTGGTAACTAGTATGCTGTCGTATGAACACACTGAAATGTTTGCCCAAGTGCACTTATTACTCATACCAAATCTCATTTAACTACGTTCTTTCACCTGTGGGAAGTTAAGGTACGTTTACACACAACGATTAATCGGGCTGATTTCTGGTTCTGCTGAATGATAATGGCGATTACTGTCATTTGGTGATGTCGTCAGATGACGTTTACTGCGAATTTTTACAAATGTCATTTATGTAAACCTGAACCAGACCGATTAATCGTTGTGTGTGAACGTACCTTTAGACTTTCTTCTGTAGTTTGCTCTCATGACAATGATATGAACACACTGAAATGTTTGCCCAAGTGCACTTATTACTAGAACCAAATTTCATCTACTGATTACGTTCTGTCACCTGCGCGAAGTTAGACTTTCTTCTTTTCGCTGCTGTCTCAAGCACAACCAGTGACGTCATAACTCAAAATACAAAAAGTGCGATAACTTGGGAATGAGTTGAGATATGAATGAACTATAGCTGCCATTTTTCATCATTTTGAAGGTACGTTCAAATAATGCAATAAAATATTGAGTAAAATGTCGTTTCATAAACACTTTAATTAGAGTCACATGACTACATGTATACATTAATTTCGACAGGCACACAGATATTAATTTGTGTAATCATCCAGATTAAAATTTTTTATTATTAATTCTGATGTTTCGGCTACCTACACGGCAGTCATTATCAAAGACGTTTATTACAGTTGCAAATTTACACTTATCAGTTTTATCACAGAGGAGAGATGGACAGAGAGTCGACTTCTTCTCTGTCCATCTCTTCTCTGTGGTTTTATCTTGCATCAAATTGACGTGCGCGTTTTCGTGAGTTTGTTTGCTTGCACGTGCGTTTAAGGCTTAAGAGCCTGCGATTATGTGCAATTAGCCCAGCGTATGCTCCAGGCATATCGCGACAAATGTTGATCCATGACAAATGTTTCCATCGCATTTTGTGAACCAGCTTTCTAAAAACATTCTTTCATCCTCAAAAGCGATGAATTCCATACAAGTGGCTCTCTCCCAATCAATTTTGTGCTTCGTTTCCATATGATGAACCGCAATTCTGCTCGCCACGTCTTGTTCTCTGTTGATCGCTTATGTTCTTTAATGCGAGAATCGAGAGTACGTCCAGTTTCACCAAAATCAGTTGCGGGGCATTCACTTTGTAAACTGTTCACGCGGACGTCAATTTGACGCAACATAAAACTGTAAATTTGCAATTGTAACAATTTTATACGTCTTTGATAATGGCTTTCGTGTAGGAAGCCGAAACGTCAGAATTAATAATAGAAAATTTAATCTGGATGATCACACAATAAATTAATGAAAGACCTCGGATTCAAGCCACGACGAAGAGAGTTTTCAACTGTTTTTTTGAGTAACCGTTTGATCTGCACATCTTCAAAATATACATTCGACTACTAGCTGTAATACTCACTAAATAGCTACTGCATAGATGAAGTCAAACTAGATATATTGTCTTGCCTTTTCGCTGTTTTCTAGTTTAGACCGTTTAACTTTGTTAAATGATTTTAAAAGCCATGCTTTAGTCCTTGGGCTCTTCGAAGGTTTTTTTGCAGTACAGGCCCCATGTAGAAACTCCTTTCCATGATCCGCTTGACGTGTTCCCAGATTCGAAGTAGATTGTATAAGGAACATCCATCTTGGTCTCGTTCACCACTGCGTTACAAACAACTGTGGAATGAGGTTTTACCGTAACAGAAAACTTATCAACATACGATTTGGCATTTGAACCGGATGTTCCCCAACTGTAGGAGTAAGAACCGGTCACAACGACTTCCGCTTCTTCCTCGCCCATCATTGGAATGCCACATTTGAATTTTGTTCCAACGGGAATTGATGCCCCAGCTTGATGCGTAAATGAAAAACTATTTGTAATTGTCTCATTAAACGAGAACTCCATTCTCTGGTCGATAGAACTGGGGTTGTTTTTTTTCTGTTTTGCGATTACCTTCGGAGTCGTAGAAAGTATTTTTGCTTCGTCAACTTTGTATTCGACACGGATTATCTCATCATTTAAAACAAGAACTTCGAAATCGTGAATGCGGTGCTCCTTGCCACCGTAGGCGATGCATGCTCCCTTAAGATTCCCATCGTATTCCTTATCCACTCCAACTTTTCCAGGAATCCTCTTTCCTGCAACTACGCCCCTTGCATGGTATGAAGGACCTCCATCGTAGCCTCCTTCAATAGCATTTTTTGGTGGCTTGTCACCAGTTTTGCATCTCACATAGGATGCTTTCAATGTTGATGTGAGCACCTCGAATGTGTGGACGCGGTGCTCTTTTGATCCGTACGGAATGCACGCCCCTTTCAAACGGCCATTTCTAGGCGAATCTACTCCGACCTTGCCTGGAATATTTTTCCCAGAAACCCTTCCTCTCCCGTGGTAAGATGGTCCGTTATCATCTCCACCTTGAACAGCATTTGCTGGCGGTGATTCCCCTGTTGAACATTCGACATATTTGTAAGGACTCGGAGTTTTAACTGGTTTAAAAAACTGTTAAGGAAAAAAAATCAAATTTCAATGAATCCTAGCAATGAATTACGTTATTAAAAACAACCCTTTAAGCGTATGTGTTGGAGATATATTCCTCCGACACTGTAGTTTATACTTCGCCTATAGCTAGATAGTCAATTAAAGGACGACAAATTGACAAATTTGATCAATCGCGTGCACCGTAAATATCATGCATGAATGCGCATTATTTTGAATGTATTATGCATGCTCTTTCGAATTTAGTTCCCATACTAACATTACTTCACCGTTCTTTTCCACAAAATAATGTACATTTTTTGCTTATTTCTGCCGCTCAACTTGAGCCGTTTGTATGCTTCAAGTCTTTAGTCTTGATATTTTTAAGTACATAATTCCAAAAAAACTTTATTTAGGTTTAGCACTTTTCCCTAAATATTTTTTGCTGTGCAAAATCACAAAATTTTCCGCAAAAGGGAGGTAAATGGGGTTTGGCGAGTGCGAAAACGTTCTGATTTTTAAAGCGAATATCGCGTTGCCCGGGTTTGGCATTGGTTGACTCGTGGT